AGTTTAAGACAGGGGTGCCCAAACATGGTGCTGGAAGGCCGGTGTCCTGCAACGTTAAGTTCCAACTCCAATTAGACACACCTGGGCTAGCTAATCAAGTTCTTGCTAGCCTTTCTAGAATTTTCCCTGCAGGTGTGTTGAGGCAAGTTGGACCTAAAATATGCAGGACACCAGCCGTCCAGGACCGAGTTTGAACATGTCTGGTGTATCAAGATTCAGCAACAATGTGTGCGTGTTGTCCATCTGATTAGACCTGAACAGAGATGTATAAAGTACTAGAGACCCACACTTAAATAAAAGTCCAAGTGCTCTATCAAAAAAACTGACTTGAGTAGAAGTTGAAGTGCTCTTTAAGCACCATACTTAAGTAGAAGTACTAAAGTATTGAACATTTTTTGTACTTAAGTATTGCAAGTATTTTATTTATAAATTTACTACTCAAGTACTGAAAGTAAAAGTAAAAGTATTGTGTAATGTAATTATTAAAGAAAGCAGTCAAAAGACATTATATTGTTTTGTTTATTTTATTATCTTTTTTGGGGCAAGTGATTAAGCAGAACAAAAAGAAACATGGCTTATGATAAGATTTTTCTCTCGCGCTTGATCCACAGATCTGACAGATTATAACAGCTTGAACACACACCTTTCAAAGTTGTGTCACAAAAACATTCTGTAATCCACTTAAAACGCTACTAAAACCCATTACCAGATCCCAAATTACCGGTCGTAAACGCTGTAAACGGAAGTTCTAAACATTCTACTGGAAGACGCTGGTCACTATGGCACCCTCCATGCAATAGCCAAGAAAATGGTCAATAATTGTAACGAGTAGGGGTGTGAATCTACACTGGTCTCACTGTTTGGTTTGGTTACGATTATCAAGCCATCGAATCGGTTCAATTTGAAATCTCGGTGCATTGACGAAGTTTTCCATACATAATTAGATTTTTTTCTTCACAACACTATAAATCAATTTTTATTTATATATTATTTTTACTTATATTGTTCTTTAATGCAGAAGTAAGATATATGAACTGTACCCTTAATTTGACCTGCTCAAAGAAAACACTCTATCTGAATGTATCAAACAAAACTCCAATACATGCACAGAAGACAGCATGAGCATTTATAGCAAATAAACTAATGTCAGTATTATCCCGCTAGCTTTTTGAGCGCTGACAGGTGAGGTCTTATACCCCTATGATTGGTTATTGTCTTCACCTGCTCAACAGAAAGGGCTGCGATCTGCTTTAGAAATGAAAGTGCTGTTCACGGATGGCGGGAAGAACAGCCGCGGTTACAGTCTATATGTGCATAATATGCGGTTATCACAGGCAATCCGTAATAGACAGAGTGGAGAAAACTTGCACCTTAGACACGCTCGTGTCTGGATCCACAAGTATCGCTTTAACAGCCAAGAGGAGAGGAACAGTTACCTTACAAACACGCCAGCGGGTCAAATGTCCAAAGTGAGAGAGAAAGAGAATGAGATGGAGTTTTACAGCATTTTACCGTAGTAGTGAATTGGCGGCTCATGTGCTTTGCCGTCTTCATAGTAGTAAGAGCATTATTTACTCACCCTCGCCTCCTTTGCCATAGTATTCTACTTATATAGTATACTTACTTTATAACTATTACTGAACTGATATCAATAATTTAGACACCCCTGGTACCGAGTAATGATGCAGCACATAAAAAAAACCTATCGGAGTAAAAGTAATAAACTCATCGAAAATATGTACTGAAGTAAAAGTGGAAGTATGAGAAAGAAAAAAAAAAAAAAACAATACTCCAGTAGAGTACAGATACAGCCTTTTAGTACTTGAATAGCTTCAGCTGTGTGTTAGTAATCATGAGGAATCTGGGCCAGATGTGTAAGTGAAGTGCACTATGGGATTTGTAGTGCAGTGGAATGTGGGTGGTCTCCAGCAGTCTGCAAGAGCAAAAATGCTGGTGATCATAACAACAGGATTTAGTCATCCTTTATTTGTTCAAAGCCAGTTTGAGTTTATTTCCTCTGTTGAACATTAAGAGAAGATGTTTGGAAGTATTTTAAAAACCCGTAATAATTGACATCTATAGTATTTGTTTGGATTCGATGGTTACTGGATTCAAACAACGTAAAAAATAAAAAATAAATGAATAAAAAATAAATAATATATAATATAAAATAAATAAAATAAATAAAAATAATAAAAAATAATATAAGAATAAGAATAAGAATAAAAAGAATAAAATAATATATACAAATAATAATAATAATAATAATAATAATAAATAATTAAATAAATAAACAAACAAATAAATAAATAAATAAATAAATAAATAAATAAATAAATAAATAAATAATAATAAACATTTTAAACAATAACAACAGCTCTAACAAGTCAAGGATGATTAACTTTTTTTGAAGTGAATTATCCCTTTATATGCCATGCAGCTAATTACAGACTTTTTATTATTATTTTATTTTACTTAATTACTCAGACAAGCAGAAATGTATTAGTTTGTCAGTTAGTTAGTTATTAACTCTGTTACAAACTCTTCCAAAAAACACTTTGAATAATGCTACATTCTGGCACATTTTCCTTTCTTGCATGTTTTTTTGTTTCCTTTTCTCTCAAAAGAAGGTGTCTTTTGTCTTGTTTTTTTTCTTCTTCTTCGCTGTGCTGTGGCCCTGTGGAAAATGTCCTGATTGAGGGAGCTGAATGAGGCTGTTGAGAGGGAGGACTCTAAATCAAAGCCCACAGACAGAGCTTTGATTTCTCTCCTTTCTTTCATTATTTATTTCGTTTTCCTCTGGTGTGTTGTCATTTCCCCCCCTCACTCATCTATTTCGGCTCTACACGGCCTCACTGTCTGCTGCCTGGGCCACAGATCTGCGAATTTCACTTTCACACATACTCTCACGATCCGGATACCTCAGAAAAGTGTACAGAGACGGTATGAAGAGGAAAGGGGACACTTGTTTAAAAATGTATGAGAGAGACTGCGTATTTAAAGAAATGAAGTATTCTCATTTTGGTTTAAAAGAATGGTAATTATAGTATTGTCAAATTCTAGAGAGAGAGAACAAAATACACAGGTGAAGTTGATTTATTCAAATGATCCTTTTCAGATTTTAGTGTCAACAAAAACAAATACATATAACGTGATTTGGCGAGGCGTGGCGCAGTAGGTAGCGCTTTCGTCTCACAGTAAGACGGTCGCTGGGTCAAGTCTCGGCTGGGTTAGTTAGCATTTCTGTGTGGAGTTTGCATGTTCTCCCTGTGTTCGTGTGGGTTTCCTTGGGTGTTGCAGTTTCCCCCACATGTCCAAAGTGTTGCGAATGTTTCCCAGTGATGGATTGCAGCTGGAAAAACATGTGCTGGATAAGTTGGTGGTTCATTCCGCTGTGGCGACCCCAGATTTATAAAGAGCTTAAGTCGATAAAGAAAATGAATAAATGATGAATAAATATGTGAATTGAAAAAATACCAAGACATGGCAAAGAGTTTATCTATTTATCTGGTTTATGCATTTCTAGATCGTATTTCTAAAGTGCCAGCATGTTGTCAAGATGAATTTAATCAGTTATTGTTTTAAGTTAGGGTTTAGTGTAAAATAATTTGATTCATGTCTTCATTTAATCTCATTAAAGTGTAGTACTAACAGTAATGAGATTAAACTGAAAAAAAATTAAAAAAAACAGGCTAAATCTGCGGTCTCACTTTTCTCACCATATACTTCCTTTTATAATCATGCAAATGCCGCAGACCGGAAACACAAGCTCGTGCGACAAGTTTCGCAGTTCACTGCATTGCAAAGTTCAAGCTTGGTAAATTCTGATCTGCTAAATTGCATCAAGTGACTGCGTGAGACGAATCGAAGTTCAAAACATGACCTCTCTGTGCAGAAATTTAAAATATGAAGCAATCGCTTGCTTTTTTAAATGTCTAATCATCTTATTTAATCCCGCTCCTTTCCTTGTGCCATACGACAGAATTTTGCATCCTCAAACTCTAGTTTGACCACAGCATTATTCCAAAATCTTCAGAAAGAAAAGCAATAATTAGTTTTGTTACTTTTAGAGATTAAGACAGCTTAACTAGATACATTTTATTACATATACAATAGTGAGTATACACTTTATTAGGTTACACCTTACTAGTACCGGGTTGGACGCCATTTTGCCTTCATAACTGCCAAAATCCTTAGATTAAACAAGGTACTTAAAATGTTGGTTCATATTGACATGATAGCATCACACAATAGCTGCAGATTTGTCAGCTCCACATCCAAGATGAAAATCTCCCATCCCACCACATCCCAAAGGTGCTCTACTGGATTGAGTTCTTATTACTGTGGAGGCCATTTGAGTACAGTGAACTCATTGCCATGTTTAAGAGTCAACCATTCTGAAATTATTCAAGCTTTAACCCCATTAAAGGCATGAACCCCAACATTGCCCAAAATCCTCCCTCTTCTTCTCAGATGGGATGGAGGGCCAAATCAAAGGTTACAATGTGCAACCTTTGGCCCGCGGGCCCTTGTTTGGGCATCTCTGATCTAAACCATTTATGAAATTACATAAACATTTGACTATTTTTTATCTATTTTCACACTATGTATTTTAAGGGTCTGCTCAAATATTATTAAGGGGGTTAAGAGGTAGTTTTAATTAAATAAATAATTGCAAATAAATCAATAAAAAAAAAATAAAAAATAATAATAATAATAATAATAATAATAATAATAATAATAATAATAGTTGTTGTTGTTGTTTTTTTTGTTTATTATTATTATTATTATTATTATTATTATTATTATTATTATTATTATTATTAAATACATTATTTAATATTATATTAATTTAGTTTAAAATAAGACAGAGCTATAAACATCCCCTTCAGTTTGAATTATAATGCATCTTCTTAACCACTTTAATCAAAGATTTTCATAAAGTCACTTGAACTCTATATAAATTTATATTCATGTGTTTGATGTCTTTGTTTCTCCAGGTCGATTTCTCACAGTGAATAGCTCCGCTCTGACAGGGCCATGGGTCCTGAGCCCTTGGTTCCGCGCTGCTCATCGGCCCTGTGGTCTGGATATCACCGTGTTTTTGCACCCGAGGCAGAGTGGACGCTACACAGTTTGGCTCATCGAGAGGGACAAGCCACCACTTGCTCTTCTCACCACTGAGCACCCACACGTCATCGGGTGAGTTCGCCAAAGGCAGCATTCTCATATTCGAATCGGCTTGATGTTTCTCAATTGTTGAACCTTGTGATTCTGATACACACGATTCTGCCCTGCTGCGGCCTTTTGAAACGTGGGTGCTTTTTTCCACAGGTTAAAGATTAGCTATTAAATCCTGCCAGTGCATTGTTACAGTGCTCCATTGTGTCTTTATTCTACTTAATTTACCACAGAATGAATTCTTTATTCTCCACTCAAAACTTTTCTTTGTGGATGATATTGGCATTAGACGGGCTAACGGTTTTATCTATTTCGTAAACTTCACTTTTTAGAAATCGAAGAGAGATGTTTGGAAATTGCACACTGTATTTACTTAGTAAGTGGAGTACAGTTTATATGGATTGTTTCCCATTGTTGCTTGACAGACTATATGAGTGACTGTCATCTGTATCACAGTTTGAGATTTGTTGTCATGAATGTCAGACAGTACCAGCAGTCAAGATCAGTTTAGACATAAGACGACTTGTCCAGAGATTTATATTATTATAATGTGGCACATTCAGTCATGGTGAGGCACTTTCAGACACAATTGAAAAGCTATCTAGCACAATAATATCTAACCTTAAAAAATCTAACACTGTGTACAGTTTAACAAACCATTAACTAAGACTTTTATCTCAAAAAGCTATAAATGAACTGCATATTATATTTACATCAAGTCATTTAGCAGATGCTTTTGTCATTCATTGAGGCTTTTAGTGATTCAACAAGAAAGGAATTGTTAGTGCTTAGATAATTAAGTGCAAGAGTAAAGAGTTGGAAAGTGTTTGGTGTAAAACTGGTTCAAGTATTGATTAAAGTGTCAACGAGATGAAAGAGTGTGTTTTCTACAGATGGTTTGTCAAGACCACTCACCTGTGTGAGGCACACTCAGAATTACATAAATTCAGAATTACATAAATATGTTTTGAGTTTAATAGTTGATAAGGTAATAGTTGGATTCAGGAATTGGATTAGGCATGTATGTAAGTGCTAATAGACAGTTAATATCTGAATAATAGGTAGGTAATAAGTAGCTCCAGACAGAATCTGCAGATATTTTTGGCTATTTCCGCAAAGAAAATTGTAAAAAAAAAAAAAAAAATTAATAAATAAATAAAAATAATAATAGTAATATATATATATATATATATATATATATATATATATATATATATATATATATATATATATATATATATATATATATATATATGCAGATTTATGCAGAATGATTTTAGGTGCATCATGACTAAAAACGTAATATATGATAAAAAATAAATAAATAAATAAAAACATTTTGAACTTTTATTCAATGTTTACAATGCAAATCCAATTGGATCCACTTATTTGGCAAACAAAGCAAGTCTTTCATTTAATACATCTACTGAAAGACAGAAAATATTACTTTACAAACTGTATTGGTAAAAAGTAATATGAACATTTTAATATTAAGATTATTATGTCACAATAATATTACTGAAATTAATTTAAAAAACTAAATAAATATACATTCACTCTGGTTTACACAAGTAATTAAATAGACTCAATAATGGAAGAATTCTGTGCACACAGATTCTGTGTGGGCCTAGTAATAAGCCAGAAGTAAGTGGTGTGAATTGCTATTTAAACTATATATATAATATCATACTTTAAAAAATGCATGACATTATTTTGTTTTATTGAAACATTATGCTGTTTTTAAAATAGTATCATGATTTATTCATCCAGGTGTAGGGTCAGGGGTGGAGTTTGGAGACATGCCAACTTTTAAAACTTTACTCCAGTCAAGACCACATTTAAGCATGTTACACGGAGGTCTATTCTACTGCAAATTGACGTCACAAACAATTGGCAGTAGTGAAATAAGTAGGATTATCATATATTGATAAATCCTAAAAGGTTTGCTAAAGTGCTAAAAATTGGTCGCTTTGATGTACCGTGGGACATTGATTCTTTGCGCAGGGAGGTAGTTTGGTGCCGAACAGAAAATAGTTCCATTCAGAAGCTCTCATCCCTATGTCTTAATCCCTCTGATGGACAAGTGAAAACAATCAGCTCTGCCATGTTAAAGTGTTGTTACAAACTGCTGTGATCAAAACGAAATTGATTAGATTGGGATTGGATTGATCAGATGGGATGGGATGGGATGGATTGGATTGGATTGGGATTGGATTTGATTGAGATGGGATGGGATGGGATGGGATGGGATGGGATGGTTTGGTTTGGTTTGGTTTGGATTGGATTGGATTGGATTGGAATAGATTGGATTGGATTGGATTGGATTGGATTGGGATGGGATGGGATGGGATGGATTGGATTGGATTGGATTGGACTGGGATGGGATGGGATGGGATGGGATGGGATGGGATGGGATGGTTTGGATTGGTTTGGTTTGGTTTGGTTTGGTTTGGATTGGATTGGATTGGAATAGATTGGATTGGATTGGATTGGGATGGGATGGGATGGGATGGGATGGATTGGATTGGATTGGATTGGACTGGGATGGGATGGGATGGGATGGTTTGGATTGGATTGGATAGGATTGGAATGGGATGGGATGGGATGGATTGGATGGGATTGGAATGAATTGGATTGGATTGGATGGATGGATGGATGGATGGATGGATGGATGGATGGGATTGGATGGGATTGGATTGGATTGGATTGGTTTGGATTGGGATGGATGGATGGATGGATTGGATTAGATTGGGATGGATGGGTTGAATTGGATTGGATTGGTTAGGGATGGGATTGATTGGGAGGAAAGGATGAATGGACAAGATTTTTATTGGGTTGAGTTCTGGGGACTGGCTGGGCCACTACTCTTGTTGGTCCGGATTGGTTGCGTTGTGTTTAATATTTTTTGTTGATATATACATATAATGCAATGTTAAGTGCTCATGCATTATATGCAATCCATGTGTGTTGATTCTTGGAAGTTATTATTGTAATTTTAACGATTTATAACCTGTTCAACAATTCAAAGGCATAAACGATCAAATAAGAAATCTCACTTTTATTTTAACATTTACTAATTTAGTGGACATTTTTATATATTTCCACATGGTATACAGCAAATGAATATGGTAAGGAGACAGTATATGTTCCCTGAGATGCAATCTTCTTATTTATTTATGTTAGTATTTATCTATTAAGCAACTGAGACACACTATCTACAGTATTTACTACAGTATTTTTTATTTTTTTTTTTATTATTTTTTTTTTTTTTTTTAAACTTTGCAATATTTTGTGTTTATGCAATAAACATTGAAATTTGAATACAATTTCTCCAGAGCACTCGGTGACACTATTTGGAAATAATGTATAACTTTAGATGGTTTGGAATGATTCTGTAGGGGCATCTGCATAAAATATAATAACGATTTACAAGCACAGATACAAAGAAAAAGATACAAATGAAATAAACAGTGTTTTATTGTTTTACGAATGGTCTAACAGTATTCAGGTAAACAGTTGAATAATTAAATGCAAAATAATACTGCATAGCTTTCATTTTATAAATAAATCAATACACTTAATTGTTATTAAAGTTGCAAATGAAATAATTTCTGGGCCCGAATGTTTAAAAAAAATAAATAAATAAATTCTCATCCAGTTACAGGCCTCAAAAACACCAGACTTAACATTTTGTAACTTATAATGTGACTATTGCAAATAATCACATTGTGATACCGATGCTAAAATGATATATGACGTGCAGCTTTATTCCACAATATAAAACTGACAATTGATAATAATAATTTGATTTATAACATGTACTTCCTTTGAGACTAACACCATTTATTTGTGTTTTCTGTGTCCTTGAGATTCTTTTCTAGTCTCCAGCATGTTCTTGTTTGCTGGATGTGCCTCTTCTGAGGAACTCTGTGTTTTACACGACTGGGCTGCATATGAATGTGCTCAGCCGAGCGTGGCATGTTCCGATAGAGAAAAGTGCTCTGACTCATTATAGAGTTCCTCTTGAGGTCATTATTTTTGATCAGCCAACCAACCCACATATCCTTACGCAATCGTACCCTCCCCTGAGGTCACCTCTTGTCCAGTCATCGATGTAAATTCTCATAGCGAAAAATGACCAGGCCATTCTTCACACTGAAGATGTTTTCATGCAATTACTTCACACAGCAATATGCTGTAATATATATATATATATATATATATATATATATATATATATATATATATATATATATATATATATATATATGATAATGAGCCAATTACATTTATCAGCAGGTTATTTCTTCATGAGACTCCATATCTGTTCATGGTAAATGTATTGGTTGTTTACCAAGAACTTGGTATTGTCTTTTTTTATTTTTTATTTTATTTTTTTAGGCCAGCATTGAGGCCAGAAGTTTTAAAGTGAACAGACCTTTGTGAAATAAGATGGACCTCAGTGTCTACTCTCAAACTGTAGTGCATCATTATGTATTAATTTATTTTTTTTACAAAATAAGGGATACAAATAGGGTCGGACCATTCAAAAGGTAAAAAAAAAACAATAAAAAAAATGCACTGTCACTTTTTGGATGAAAAAAAAAATCTGTGAAACTTTTTGGCTAGAAAAGAGAAAAACAATAAAAATGTGAGCTGAAAAAAAAGTGAAATAGTATATCTGACTTGAAAATTTGATCTTGTCTTTCTGCACTGTAACTGAACGTTCTGTGTCATACATTTAAAAAATCTCTAGCAAAATGAAAACAATATCAAGGTATTTTGGGGACAGTTTTGGTTTGTAGTACAACACATCAAGTTATACACTGTAAAAAAAATATAAAAAAAAATTAAAATCTTTTATTTGACAGTGTTAATGATAAGTGTGATACAGTTAAGAATTACATATTGGTCTCTGTTGTGTCGACTTTTTCTGTTGAAAATTAATTTAATTCTACAGTTTAACAAAGTGTTTTTTTTTTTTTTTTTTAACTGACATATTAGTAGTTTGAAATAATATA